TACGGCACCTTTTGCGACAGTCGCGCTTTACGGCAGTTTTACGACAGTCGCGCTTTACGGCACCTTTTACGACAGTCGCGCTTTACGGCAGTTTTACGACAGTCGCGCTTTACGGCACCTTTTACGACAGTCGCGCTTTACGGCACCTTTTGCGACAGTCGCGCTTTACGGCGCCTTTTACGACAGTCGCGCTTTACGGCAGTTTTACGACAGTCGCGCTTTACGGCACCTTTTACGACAGTCGCGCTTTACGGCACCTTTTGCGACAGTCACGCTTTACGGCAGTTTTGCGACAGTCGCGCTTTACGGCAGTTTTACGACAGTCGCGCTTTACGGCACCTTTTGCGACAGTCGCGCTTTACGGCAGTTTTGCGACAGTCGCGCTTTACGGCACCTTTTACGACAGTCGCGCTTTACGGCACCTTTTGCGACAGTCGCGCTTTACGGCACCTTTTGCGACAGTCGCGCTTTACGGCACCTTTTGCGACAGTCGCGCTTTACGGCACCTTTTACGACAGTCGCGCTTTACGGCACCTTTTGCGACAGTCGCGCTTTACGGCACCTTTTACGACAGTCGCGCTTTACGGCACCTTTTACGACAGTCGCGCTTTACGGCACCCTTTGCGACAGTCGCGCTTTACGGCACTCTTTGCGACAGTCGCGCTTTACGACAGTTTTACGACAGTCGCGCTTTACGGCAGCGTTTGCGACAGTCGCGCTTTACGGCACTTTTACGTCACTTTACATCACTTTACGGTTTTTGTTTTGTTTTTCATTTATTTTTAATTAATTTTTTTTTTTAATTTTAGTTTTTATTTTTCATTTTTCTATTTTTAAAGCTTTTATTTTTTAAATATTATTTTTTATTTCGTTTTTATTTTTCATTTTTCTATTTTTAAAGCTTTTTATTTTATGTTTTAATTTTATTTTTTAATTTTTATTTTTCATTTAATTTTTTTCATTTTTTTATTTTTAAAGCATTTTTTTAATTTTATTTTTTATTTAATTTTTATTTTGCATTTCTCTATTTTTAAATTTTTTTTATTTATTTTTTAAATTTTTTCATTTAATTTTTATTTTTCAATTTTCTATTTTAAAGCTTTTTATTTCTTTTTTTAAATTTTATTTATTTTCATTTTATTTTTAATTTTTCTATTTTAAAGCTTTTTATTTTATTTTTAATTTTATTTTTTATTTCGTTTTTATTTTTCATTTTTTTATTTTTAAAGCTTTTTGTTTAATTTTTTAATATTTTTTATTTAATTTTTATTTTTCGTTTTCTATTTTTAAAGCTTTTTATTTTATTTTTAAAATTTTATAAATTTAATTTTTATTTTTCATTTTTCTATTTTTAAAGCTTTTTATTTTATTTTTTAAATATGATTTTTTATTTCGTTTTTATTTTTCATTTTTCTATTTTTAAAGCATTTATTATGTTTTAAATTTTTTATTTAATTTTTATTTTTCATTTTTCTATTTTTAAAGCCTTTTATTTTTTAATTTTTTTAATTTAATTTTTTTTTCATTTTTCTATTTTTAAAGCTGTTTTTTAATTTTTCATTTCCTTTTTATTTCAGTTTTTTCATTTTTTCACTTATTTTTAAAGGTTTTTTTTTAATTTTTATTTTTCATTTTTCTATTTTTAAAGCAGTTTTTTTGTATTTAATTTTTATTTTTAATTTTTCTATTTTTAAAGCTTTTTATTTTATTTTTAAATTTTTTTTATTTCATTTTTGTTTTTCATTTTTCTATTTTAAAGCTTTTTATTTTATTTTTTAAATTTTATTTTTATTTAGTTTTTATTTTTAATTTTTCTATTTTTAAAGCTTTTTTTAATTTTTCATTTTTTATTTCATTTTTATTTCAGTTTTTTTTCATTTTTTCATTTATTTTTAAAGCTTTTTTTTAATTTTTATTTTTCATTTTTCTATTTTTAAAGCTTTATGATTTATTTAATTTTATTTTCTATTTAATTTTTATTTTTCTTTTTTTTATTTTTAAAGCTTTTTATTTTATTCTTTAATTTTTTTTTTCATTTTTATTTTCCATTTTTCTTTTTTAAAACTTTTTATTTTAGTTTTTAAATATTATTTTTTATTTAGTTTTTATTTTTCATTTTTGTATTTTTAATGCTTTTTATTTTATTTTTTAATTTCTTTCAATTTAATTTTTTTCTTTTTTCTATTTTTAAAGCTTTTTTTTCATTTTTCATTTTTTATTTCATTTTTATTTCAGTTTTTATTTTTCTTTTTTTCATTTTTTTTAATGCTTTTTTATTTTTATTTTTCATTTTTCTATTTTAAAGCTTTTTATTTTTTAAATATTATTTTTTATTTCGTTTTTATTTTTCATTTTTCTATTTTTTAAGTTTTTTTTTTAATTTTATTTTTTATTTAATTTTTATTTTTCATTTTTCTATTTTAAAGCTTTTTATATTTTAAATTTTTTTATTTAATTTTTATTTTTCATTTTTCTATTTTAAAGCTTTTTATTTTTTATTTTATTTTTATTTAATTTTTTTCTATTTTAAAGCTTTTTATTTTATTTTTTAAATATTATTTTTTATTTTGTTTTTGTTTTTCATTTTTCTATGTTTAAAGCATGTACTTTTTAAATTTAATTTTTTCATTTTTCTATTTTTCAAGCTTTTTTATTATTTTTTAATTTAATTTTTTCATTTTTCTATTTTAAAGCTTTTTATTTTATTTTTTTAATTTTATTTTTTATTTAGTTTTTAATTTTCATTTTTCTATTTTTAAAGCTTTTTTTTAATTTTTATTTTTAATTTTTCTATTTTTAAAGCTTTTTATTTTATTTTTTAAACTTTTTTTAATTTCATTGTTATTTTCCTTTTTCTATTTCAAAGCTTTTTATTTTATTTTTTAAATTTTTTAAATTTCATTTTAATTTTTCATTTTCCTATTTTAATGCTTTTTATTTTATTTTTTTAATTTTATTTTTTATTTCGTTTTTTCATTTTTCTATTTTTAAACTTTTTTTAAAATATTATTTTTTATTTCGTTTTTATTTTTCATTTTTCTATTTTTAAAGTTTTTTTATTGAATTTTTATTTTTAATTTTTCTATTTTTAAAGCTTTTTATTTTATTTTTTAAATATTATTTTTTATTGTTTTTATTTTTCATTTTTCTATTTTTAATGCTTTTTTTAATTTTTATTTTTCTTTTTTCTATTTTTAAAGCTTTTTATTTTATTTTTTAGTTTTATTTTTTATTTAATTTTGATTTTTAATTTTTCCATTTTTAAATATTTTATTTTATTTGCTGCTGCCCAGTCCAGCTCCAGCCGCTGATTGTGGTGCTGTTTGAGGCTCCCCAGGACGAGGGAAGAGACGAGAACCTGACTCCACCTTTCACAAGGCTGGGATCTGATAAATCACTGAATTTCTGTCACTTTTTAAATGCTGCTTGCAGTGAAAACATTGTCTCTAAACCCTCCTCAATGGGGTTCAATTTCTCTGCTCCATTTCTTCCCTCCCACCCCTCACTGCTGCTCTAAGATCCCTCAGCAGCTCAGTCTTTGTGTTTTGTTTGACATTTATGCCCACTTGCCCCAAAGCTCTGGGGGTTCTTTTTCAAATATGATATTGATTTTTCTCTTGGTTTAAAAACAACCCTGAAATACACCCACACACACCCACACCCACACCCACAAAAGCAGCAGGTCCAAAAGCAGCAGGTCCAAAAGCAGCAGGTCTCCATGGCTCAGCCCTGAGTGGTGAAGGAAGAGCAACAGGAAGGGTGCTTTGGGTGCTGCAGAAAGTCTCTGTAAGGGTTAAAGGAGAATCCCATTCCCACAGATGGCTTTTGTTTTCTTTTTTTTTGTTTGTTTTTAATGGGTTATGGTGCTGGGAAGATCTGGAAAGTGTGCAAGTCCCTCATTCCAGTCTGGATGTCTTGTTTTAAGAAATGTGTTCTCTCAGCTCTTGGAGAGCACAGTTTTGGGTTCGTCCTCACACCCTCCAGTCTTGGTGGCTCTGTTGGTTTTTTATTTCCCTTTCCCTGCCCTCACTCCCCCGATGGCTGCAGGGGATGTGATTCAGGCACTCATCACTCCTCTGTAGCTTCTTTACAGAGCTCAGACTGACTGGGTCTCTCATCCTCCTCTCACAGCAGTGCTGCAGAGTGAGGCACACGGCAGGGCAGGGCTTTTAGCTGTTGTTTTATCTCCTGGTTTGATGTTTAACCCCAAGCCCCTGCTCACCATGCCAGGCTGGGCTGCAGGGGAGCACATTGACAGCAACAGTGGCTGCACCACAACCACAATCAATCTGATAGGAAAAGGGTTTAAGGTTCTAACAGTGCCATGCAGATTGAGCTGAGCCCAACCTGGGCCTAGCTTGATCCCTGATCTGTGTAAAGCCCTCTTCTGTACTTTCCTGAGGCTGGGACAGCTGGAGAGGTTGCTCTCCATGAGGCCAGGATGGCAGCTGTGGGCTGAAACTCGCTGAGCTGCCTCCCCACTACGTGATGGGATTGTGAGGGATTTAAAAGAAAAAACATTACAATGTCTTTGTCATCTTCCATGCTCACCTATGCTGGATGTTGGTGCTTTGTAGTATTTTTTAAAATAAAAACCAAATGCTTTCCCTTTATAAGTAAATATGCCATGAAGAGGGCTTCAAAGGAAAGATGATTGGTTATTATCCAACTGCTGCTAAATTCATTGCTTGGTGGTCCATATACTGCATTTTTTAATGTCACTGATACCTGACACAGACCATTCCCAAGCTGTTTGGTAATTATTTACCAGCATCATCTGCATGACCAGAGATGGCCAAAAAGCAGGAAGGAGATAAAGGGGTTAAGCTGTAGGCAGGAAAGGGAAGGCAGAAACCAAGCAGCAAACAATTGGCACCTGGGCTCCACTGAAGACTAGAAGTGGGAAAAAATGGCTTAATTGAAAAATCTGCCTATTGTGTGTGCAGTCTCCAAGGGGAAACAAACAAACCCATTCAAAGGAAGGGGAAAAAGGCAAAGAATTTAAAAATCCTTGTGCTGTTGTGCAGAATTGGGGGGTTTAACTCTTCCCAGTCTCAGGCAGAAATATTTTTATAACCAAACCATCTCCCTTTTTAAAGCATTTGGTTGGAGTGAGTAATTTCTTAAGTCCTCCATCATCAGGACCAGTTTGGGTTTGGCAGCTCCAACACCTTGGCAAGGCCAGGACGAGTTCAGTGCTTCTCCCTGTCCTGAAAGAGAGGAGAAAAGGAAAGTTAAGCTCACTGCAGAATCAAAGCCTCCTGCATTTCATCTCTTGGCTTGCATTGCTCACCATGGAGTTTTAGCCATAAAAAAGGGGGAGGTGGCACCAAATCGAATTAAAAAGTGCCCTTTCCCCAGTGTTTTTATTCCAGACATTCAAAAGAAGCTCATTTTTCTGCTAGCAGGGAACTGTTTCCTATTTTGATCCGTGTTAACTTGGGGTTTCCCTTGGCACCAAAATCAGGGGGTGAACCCAACCCTTGAAGGGCCATAAGATCCCAACTATCCAATCCCCAACCCCCTCAGCATTGGCTTGCAGAACCTTCTCAGGGTTAATTTAGTAAACTTAGGGGTTTGGCAAGTTCAGGATCAAAACAACCAAAAAATTCGTGAAAAAGAAACTGAACCGAGGCTGGCTAAAAGCTGATGACTCATTACAACAATTCAGTGAAAAGGAGGCAGGAGTGATCCTGTGAAAAACGCCAATCACTTGTTTTTAAAATTTTAAAAGTTTAACAGTAATTAAATGGTTATAAAAATAGTAATACAATTAGAGTAATAATAATTTGGACAAATTAAATTAGGACAATATGAGACAATAAAGACAAAGAGTTACAGATGTCCAGGTATCTTTTTCTGGGCAGCATAAGCCAGAAAAAGGACCCCCATTAACAAAGGATTAACCCTTAAAAACAACAGCCTGTTGCATATCCATACATCTCATACATGATGCATAAATTCCATTCAAATACAGGATTCTGTCTGGCCATCATCAACTTCTTCCTCTGAATCCTAACAGTGCCTTCGAGCCAGGAAGAAGTTCGTTTCTTTTAATAAGAGAGCAATATTATTAGAGTTATAATATTGCTTTTTCTCTGAAAGATTTAGGTGTCCTGTGGCTGCTATCTCACTGCAAGTCCTTTCTTTAAAAAAAGTCTCCTACATAGCATAGTTTCTGTTTTAACATTTTCTTATAACCTAAAACTATATTTAACACACTACTTAAGAGAATTAATAAAGCATTACTTCCTAACACAACACGTACAATATTCATTTTAATATTTGCGAAAAGCCACTCACAAAATACGCGTTTTTCACATTTTCAATACTCACCAAGCCATCTGGCCAGAGTGCTGTGCCCACCGAGGACACAGCAACCAGCAGGGACCTTCCTCCCATTCTCCAGCACAGGCTTCTTCCCTCCACAGGCAGGGAGCTGCAGCCACTCAGGGAACGCCGACTTAGTCACAACAGGAGAGGCACAAGGATAATTTGGAACTCGTTGTGACCTCAACGCCGCCCAGACCCAGGAGAAAGCACTTTTCCATGAGACCGAGCGGGGTATTTCCCGTACCGCCCTCCCTTCTCCCTACCCAAGGCGCATGAGCACACTGCCGCCATCATTGGAAGGGCAAGTGAGTGCCGCCCTCAGCCGCCATCTTGGGTGTGGCGTAAAAGTGACCTTTTTTTTTTTCTCCCCTTTCCAGTTCTCACCCCCTGCAGAGGCAGGAAAACTGCCTTGCAATCAAGTACAAAACCTGCCTGGCAAGCCCAGAATGCCAGCAGCCGTTTCTCCTGCATTTCCTCTCCGCAATCTTTGGTACCGGCAGAAGCCACTCCCGGCCGAGCCGCCATCTTTGTTGTGGTACCCTTAAGCATACCCCGCTCCTCACACAGGCGTTTCTCTTACCGGCTGCCTCAACCCGGTCCCGACGCCGATCCCGCGCTCTCAGCGCCATTTTCTGCTTCTTTTCCCGGCGGGAGAAAACGGGTGGCGGGGTCAGCGGCACCGGAGCCCCGCGAACCGCGGCAGGGAGCGGCGGCGCCGCCTCTGCCGGAGTCCTGCCGCGGCCGCCATGTTGAGTGTGGCTGGAGCCCGACAGGTGATGGCAGATTGCCGGAGGCACTTGGCACTGTCAAAGTACCTAGAGTTGGCACAGGTGCCAGCTTGGCTCTGGCAGGCATATTTCGCAAAGTGCAATTTCAGCAGGCAGCCGGCCACTCCGGGCCACAGGCACAAACACCGGCCCTTTTCCCTGGCAAACAAAACTCACCAGCCCAGGTTCGTGATGGCAGGAGGCACTTGGCACTGACTGCGCCGCCTGATTTTGCAGTGGTGGCAGCATGGGCTTGAGAGAATGCAGAATTTCAAGAGCCAGCCAGCCGCTCCGGGCCACAGGCCACCGAACAACAACGCCGGCCCTTTCCCAGAAGAAGAAAACTCCCCAGTTTTCTGGGGAGTTTTCCACGTTCCTGGTGGCAGTTTGAAGGAGGCCCTTGACACTGTCAAGGGATGGCGCAGACCTGGGCTGGGGAGAGGAGAAGGGCAGTGACGGATGGGGCAGGGTTGGGCTCCAAGCTCGGGTAGGGCTGAGAAGGCTGAGGGGAGGAGGTAAGGGTTAGGAGGGGGCACGCCATATCTCCCAGAAAAACACTGCAGTAAAATAAAATAAAATAAAATAAAATAAAATAAAATAAAATAAAATAAAATAAAATAAAATAAAATAAAATAAAATTCTGGCTGGCCTCGGAGTGTGGCTCGGTGTCGCGGTCCCCGTGTCCCCTCAGGGGTGGCACGGTGTCCCTCAGTGTCACTGTTCCCATGGCCCCGGGAGGAGGCGCCGGAGGCCGCGGGAGGCGACGGCCCCGGGCCGGGTGGAGCTTTTGAGGCTCCCAAAAAACAGAGCCCAGAAGTCAGGGAATAAAACTTAGTGAATAAAAGCGGTTTGTTTATATTTATGTTTATTGAAGGGCCCTCAGGTACATTTCAGGCACACAATGCCCCTTGAGGGGCTACACCCCTTGAGGGGCTACACCCAAAAATGAACCCTGGGTTTTCACATTTTTGTAAGTTTGGTCCATTTGCATATTGGGGTTAATGTTCCAATTACAGCTTCAGGTAATTTACCCCAAGTTTTCTGCCTCCACGTCACTTTTGTTTACATTTCTTTGAGGCAGCGAGGTGTCCTTGATTCCCGGCCTGGAGAGGAATTGTTGTGTCTGCCCAGAATGTGAGCGCAATAACAAACAATGCACGTGGAGTTTAGAGTTCTACGCTAAAGAACTGCAGGGTCACAAATATGATAAAAACTAAATAAATAAAATCTAAACTCCTGAGGCATCAGGCGCTGCCCGGGGGGTGTCTGGGGTGTCACATCCCAGCTCCGAACCGGTGCCAGCTGCCCCTGGAGGAGGTGACAAAGCCAGGCCTGGGCTGAGGCAGCAAAGCTGGGCTTAAAATCTGGGCTTTTCCTCGGATCCCAGACGGGAGCTTTTGGGGCACAGCAGGGTCCGAGGGCTCCCAAACGCCTCTGAAACTCTCGCTGTGCCTTTCCCACCCCAGCCTGGGTGACAATCCCAGGAATGTCACGGAGCTCTCAGGGCGGTCACACTCCGCTGACCGCACTGGGGAGGGGCCGGAGCCCGCTGGACATTCCCAGGGGATATTCCACAATTCCAGAGCCAGGGATGCTGCAGCTCCAGGGTTCGCTGGGGTTTACCTCAAATCCCCATTAAAACCGTAAAGCAGCAGCACCTGGACATGCACAAACACCAGCAAGGTGGTGAGGAGAGGTGAACTTTGGGGGGGAAAAAAAATCCAAAATAAAATAGAAATCTGGCTTTAGTTCCCTTATTCCACACAGAATTTCACAGAGCAGAGGGGATCCAGCCCTGGCACAGGCAGTAATTAAGGACTTGGGTGGGTTATAAATGACATTTTTCTCATTTTCTGCTCCATAGGGGCTGGGAAGAGGTTCTGTATTTCTGGCTAAAGTCCCACAGCTCCCATTCCCACCTCTAAATCCTCCCGTTTAATTTAATTTAGGATCTGTTCCCATCCCAAAATCTTTTTGTTTTATTTAGGATCTGTTCCCACCCCAGCATCCTCCCATTTAATTTAGATCCTATTCCCACCCCAACACTCTCATGTTTAACTTAGGATCTGTTCCCACCCCAATATCTCCTGTTTAATTTAATTTAGGATCCTCTCCCACCCCAACATCCTCGTGTTTAATTTAGGACCTTGGGGTTAAAAAACCCCCGAAATTAATGCCAGCAGAGAGGTTTTTCTGATTAAATTACCTCTGGCCAGCTCCGCAGATCAATTTCAATTTCACTCTGCTTTTTGTTGGGTTTTTTTTTTTTTTTTTTTGGGTGTTTTTTTTTTTTTCTTTTTTCTTTTTGAGGAGGGGGAGGGGGGAGAAAATGAGAAAATCAGCCTTGCAAATTCCTGTAATTATCCTTAAAATAAAAACCCCCGCTGCAGCGGGAGGTCCCTGGAGTGCGGGGAGTAATTCCGGGTTCCTCTGCGAGGTTTGGATGAAATTTGGGAGCGGGGAGGCTCCAATTTTCCCTTTTTTCCCCCATAATTGCATTTGTGGGGCCGCAGATGGTGCCGGCTCCGCAGCCCCGCTGTAAAGAAGATAAATCGAGGCTGAGGAGGGACAGAAGTGACAGCGGCGCTCCCTCCGTGACGAGATCATCCATCAGCTCTAAATGTGTTTTATAAGAGATTTTTTTAAATAGAATTTAAAATAGATTTTTACATATTTTTAAAATATATATAATATATTTTATTTATTTAATCTACTTAATCTACTTATTCTATTGACTATATTGACTATGTTAAATCTATTTAATATATTTTAATATAGTTGATCTATTTCATATATTTCATATATTTACTATATTTCATCACTCCCTCCATGATGTCATCCAACAGCTTTAAAAGTATTTTATTACAGATTGTTTAATATATTTTAAAATATAGTGAATCTATTGAATCAATTGAATCAATTGAATCTATTGAATATATTTAATATATTTAATATATTTAATATATTTAATATATTTAATATATTTACTCGCTCCCTCCATGGCAAGCATCATCCATCAGCTTTAAATATATTTTATAATCTTTTTGAAAATACATTTTTACATATATTTAATCTGTTTATTATATTTAATCCACTTAATCTATTTTACTACAGTTGATATGTTGAATATATTGAATATATTTATTATATTGAATATGTTTAATTGCTCCCTCCATGATGAGCATCATCCATCAGCCCTTACAAGGCAGCTGGGACAAAAAGGAATTGCCCAGTAAAGGCCACCACGTCCCTGTCACAAAATGCACAAACAGCCATGGGGGCTGTCACTTTTATAAGTTCTGCTCCATTTGCATATTGGAGTTAATTATCCAATTACAGCTTTAGGTTATGCAGTCCCATCCTTGTTTTTCTGTCTTCAGCCCAGTTGTTTGTGCTCTTGGGGCTGAAATTTGGATTATTTGTCCTTGGTCCCCAGCTAGAGAAGGAATAGTTTTGTTTCCCTACTCTGTGTTTTACATGTTTTATGGGTTTTACATGTTTTGTGGGTTTTACATGTTTTATGGGTTTTACATGTTTTACATGTTCTGTGGGTTTTACATGTTTTATGGGTTTTACATGTTTTATGGGTTTTCATGTTTTGTGGGTTTTATGTTTTACAGGTTTTGTTTTGCCAACCCTGCCTTCACCCCCAAGGATGGAATGAAAGGAGCAGCTCCCCACCAGTTTGTGGGGTCGCCCTGAACCCCTCAGGTTTGTGGGGTCACCCCAAACCCCTCAGGTTTGTGGGGTTGCCCCGAGCCCTCCGCCTGCTGGAAAAGCAGATGCCTTCTGCTGGATCTGCCCTTTGCTGTGTAAAGCTCCTTCCCACTTTGATGTCCCCCATAAATCCCCCATGTGTTTCCAATAAAGGGGTTTTTTATCGCTGGAGCTGTTAAAGGCAGCACTGGGGCCGATTTGGGCTGGCTCTGCTGGGGGAAGCTCCCTGCCCTGGGTTGGGTTGGGGGTCCTGGGGGTGGGCAAGGGGCTGCAGTGGCCACTGGACCCCCCCTCCTGGGGCTGGGAGGAGGCTCTGGGGTGGGCCTGGTGCTGGTCCTGCAGCAGGAGGGGCTGAACCCTGGGATGGGATCACCATGGCCCCAAACCCCATGGGATCACCATGGCCCCAAAGCCCACGGGATCACCATGGGCCCACACCCCATGGGATCACCACGGCCCCAAACCCAGGCTGAGACCCCAACAGCCCCAAAGCCCACAGGATCACCATGGCCCCAAACCCCATGGGATCGCCACAGCCCCAAACCCAGGCTGGGACCCCAAACCCTGAACCCTGGGATGGGATCACCATGGCCCCAAAGCCCACAGGATCACCATGGCCCCAAACCCCATGGGATCACCACAGCCCCAAACCCCACAGGATCACCTGGGATCCCACCCACCTCACCCGGGCTCCCACAAAGTCCACCATGAGTGGGCTATCAGCTGTGTCTCTGTGGCTACCTGAGCCCCTGCCCTGTCAGGAAGCAGGTGGAGGAAGGGGTGGAGCAGTTGTGGGGTTTTTAGTCCCCATTTAGGGCTGCTCGTTGCCAGGGCTGGCTAATCCGTGCCCAGCAGCAGCAGCAGAGTTCTGAATCCTGACAGGCCATGGAAGGGTGGTGTGGTCCTGAGGCCTCCCCGCTGCTCCGTTCCCCTGGGTCTTTATCAACCTGCCAGGGCCCAGGATCCCATTTATCCTTTATCAACCTGCCAGGGCCCAGGATCCTATTTATAACCCAACCGTATTTATAATGAATTGTGTAGGGCCTGGGCAGGGGCCACAGAGAGCAGTGATTTATGGACGTGGAAAT